GGTGGTGGAACAACAAATGCAGGAGATTGGGAGAGTGGACCGTTTTTGTTATCTTGGTGATACACTTAATAGTGGAGGCGGTTGTGAAATTGCGGTGGCATGGAGAAGTAGGGTTGGATGGTCTAAGTGCAATGAGCTGGCCATGGTACTGTGTGGCAGAAGGTTCTCATGGGGAATAAAGGGTAGGATTTATAAAGCCTGTGTAAGATCAGCAATGGTGTATGGTGCCGAAACATGGAACATAAAGACAACTGAAGAGGGAATTTTTAGAAGAACAGAAAGAGCAATGATAAGAAAAATGTGTGGTGTTAAGCTGGCAGAAAGAAGGAACACAAAGGAGCTTATGGAACCTCCAGGTCTAAGTGAAACAATTGTTGAGGTTGTTATGAGAAGTTGCTAGAGATGGATGGGTCATGTGCTAAGAAAAGACGAAGGTGATGCAGTAAAGAGAGCCTGGCATCTAGAAGTTGAAGGTAGAAGAGTAAGGGGGCGGCCAAAGGTGACGTGGAAAGATATGGTGAAAAAAGAAAGTGCAAAAATTGGTTTGGAGGAGTATGATGCACAAGACAGGAAGAAGTGGAGAGATGGTGTAGCTGCATGGAACGAGTGACAGTCAGTAACCCCTTGGAAGAGGGAAGAAAACTGACTTAAATAAATGATGATGAAAAAATGATGATGGGATGACTCCCCGGTTCTCTGAGGCCGTGGAGAGCGGGAGGATTTCTTCTCATTGACCAGACCAATAATATTTGCTTCCTACAGACTTACAGACAGGTACAGTTAATTAATGTGTCACTTCATTTCAACATTATTTTATGTTGATTTACAAATCAAGTATACAATAGTATTAATGGCAATGATGAAATCATCAATATCCATGATAAGGGAGCAATGATTATAACACTGTTAATGACAACGATAGGGTGTCAAGAACTTGCATACATGACTTTGCCATATAGGGGAAGGTTTACTGAATGTAAACTTCAAAAACAATATTATACAAGAATCTTGGTAATCACAATCTCAAATTTGAACTCACCAGGACCTGATCCAACATAAGGTTCCTCCACATCAATATCTCTTGGTAATTCTCCTTTGAACTTTGTAGAGGTTGGCTCTATTGCCAGGACTTTCTCCTCTGAAACTATAATGTTAAAATAGTGAAATACATCAACTGATAATGATTATCCAAATCAATTATTTTTATGTGACTATTGATCATTACCATAATTATGTTTCAATTGGCATTTTGAGAAAATAAAATGAAAAAATAAAATAATATAATAATGATAATCCTTTATCTAATCTCAAATAAAGGACAGAACATCAAATTCAGGCTGTGATCTGTAATACATGTCCAATACAGGAAGATTTGTGCGAGTGTACTCTTATTAAAATTGTATTGTTAATGGTTAATGGTTAATGGTTTTTAATTTATAGAGCGCAAAATACAAAAAGTCTCTAAGCGCTATCAGGCAAGTGTAAAGATGGAACGGAAACCAAAACCACAAAATAAAAAGAAGTGAAAATTGAATACCATGCCAGCACCCAAACCGAAGTATGGGGATACGCCCTCATCGCTGGCTAGGGTTCAATCTAATTGAACTACAGTCAGCACCTGTTGAGTCTCGGCCATCTCGGATTCGGGCGCCTCCTATCCTAGTTAAAGCTATAAAAGCTAGCTGGCATGGAAATAGGAAAAAAATTAAATTAAAGGGACGAGAATAAGTGGGTCTTAAGTCGTTCTTTGAAAATGGTGACAGAAGGTGACTCGCGAATAAATAAAGGTAACAAGTTCCACAACTTGGGCCCAGCAACCATAAACGATCGCTCCCCACAAGACTTTAACCGAAAGAATGGACAATAAAGATTGGTTGAGTCAGTTGTTGACCGGAGGGAACGAGTGCAAGTTGCAGAACGAACCTTAATTAATTCGGAAATGTATTGTGGTGATAACTTGTGAATTGATTTGTAAACATATAAAAGCACTTTGAATTCAATACGCTGTTTCACTGGCAACCAATGAAGACGACGGAGAGTAGGGGTGATGTGATGGAATTTAGGTGTCCCAGTGACAAGACGAGCAGCGATGTTCATCAATAGCTGCAGCTTTCTAATTGATGTTAATGGTATTCCGTAAAGGACTCCATTACAATAATCCAATCTTGATGTAACCAATGCATGTACAATTGTCCTTTAGTGCAAATCGAAAAAAAATAAATTTTGAAATTAAATTGGCCATTTTGGATCATCACAATAGTTATTCACTTTGAATTAAAAATTTTATTGAAAAAAGAAAAAAATTACTATAGTTACACCACGTTTTACGAAACAGAAAATGGAAGGGGTGACAGCACCAAATGTTTCCGGTTTTAAATAGCTAATAAATATGCGAAATTGATACTTAATGACCCTTGACATCGACAAGTTGGTTTGTGTAAAGTAAACAAATCGCGAGCGAGTTATCAGGCTTCTGTGTGAGGGCCTAGCTGTCGTTGTGTTCAGCCCAGGGATCAGCCTAGACTGCATCAGGACACGTCCCTCTCCGTTCATTTAGGCCTGGGCTAGGCCAGTCAGTAACGATAGCTATTGTTAGCCTACCCCATACTGTCTTATATAATAATTATTGAGGAGAATATCTGAACTAGCTTGGCCCTAGAGTGTCAGATTACTCTGTCTGTAGGTACACTTAGGCCTACCCTATATAACTGTCTTATTTATTATTGATATTATTCAGCCAGGCTTATTAAAACTTAGGCCTAGCTAGAGAGAATTATTAATTACTATTTTTTATTTAGGTAGGGTCTAGCTTTTACTTTAGAAAAACACTGGCTATTCTTCCAAAATGCAGTGTATGTTTTTGTTTGTTTTTCATTTTATTAAAAAAAATAATATTTAGGGCAGATATGGGACCAAGACAGCCCTGTGCTAGTGAATCTGATTATTGCACACAATGTAAATTGTAATTATGAAGTTCAGGAATAATTGTCCTCAATTTTCCCTGTGCCAGTGAATCTGAAGACAGAAATTATTAGCTGACAATGTAATTATGATGTTCAGGAATTATTCTCCCCAAGAAAAATAATCTTAAAAACAATTCTTTTAATTTTACCTGCTCAATTTGAAGCTAGATTAAAGTTATGTAATCAAGCATAAAAATTATTTAATATTATTAGCTGTCTATGATCATACTCTACTGTACTTGATGATATATTTAATTTTTTTCCAATTCTAGAGTGAAACTTTATGTAACATTTACATCCTTATTCTGGAAGTGGAAAAGTATTTTGTTGCTAGTGAATGATGGAAGTTTAAATTAAACATTAAATAATTTTATTTCCAAAGATAATATATTGATACATACAGGAAAAAACAATGCCCAAATAAAATACCTTCTGACCATTGATTAGCAAAAGATCAACTCCATACAAAATATTTAAATCTTGTATAATTATCTCACATTGGTCTTTTTCTGGACACTACAATAGCTCGCGATGAGAAAGAGCGTAAACATCTTGTCAACAAACCTCTTCTCTTATCAGATATCTCCATAACAACCCCAGATACCTCATACATATGCATAATTAGTGAAGCAAACTGAATTTAAATTAGCTTTCTTCCAACCGTCGCGATACAACAGTCATGAGAATTTTTCGAACTAATTTATCTGTTAATTAACGAAACTGATTGATTTTCGTTCGATTTTTGGATCAAAAGCGAATAACTTTCCTAAAGCAACAAAATGGCCAATTCAAAGTTTAATTTTGTAAACCTTCATTTTTTGTGTTAGAAAGGACAGTACAACTTTAATAGAGGTTATGCACAGTACTGGGAGATAACAACAATCATAAAACAATTAAATTTGTAGCCTATTCAGATATTTTGGTTGGTTTAAATCAGATTGTTAGTAAAAATATAATTAAAATATCATATCACAATTACAGTACTATTAAATTATTATTAATAGAGAACACAGCATACTGAAGGCAGTACAATAGGAAAAACAGCAAGGGAATTGTCTCCCCAGATCACTAACTAGTAGGTTTTCTATAGTTTAGCTGAACCCACTATTTGAGCAACTCTGATAATAATAATAATAATAATAACTAGATTTGAACTCGTCACTGATATGATGATGTCACAATGTCCGATCAGCCATAATGATCTATAAAATCATATCTACAATTCATGTGCTTTCAGAATATGTAATAAAAATTGGGGGTCACCTTTCATCCTAAGGAGCTACAACTGATTAAAAATAGGCCTGATTTTAGCATATTTTCACTGTATATCGGCACAAATCCGCGCAAAGATACCTATATTTGATGCGCATGTACGGAATTTCTATTGGCCATAAGATGACCAAAAAGAATGGAAATTTGTGAAAACATTGTCAGGAACCCAAACTATGCGCGCGCGTAGTGGAAAATTTCAAAAAATTTTGAAATGCTCAAAATGGCCTGAAACGTGCTCTAATTTAATCAAAAAGTGATTTTGAGCATTTGAAAAATTTGACGCATGCGTACTCGCGCGTAATGAAGCGCACACGTAAAATTAGGGTACAGCACATTCAACATTAACCCGAAGTTAATGCTCACTTAATACGATTTCAAAATTACAATTGGTTAGTCTGATATGATTGATAATGTAAAAACGCAAAATTGCGCGTAGATGACGTCACGCATGACTGAGCACGTTGAAAAGCTTACCATGACTATTCCAGACCAAGCCAAATGTTCGTTGACAGCGATTGTGTGTAACTCGTGGCATTTTTTGAGATATCGTGCGAACAGAAAAGGGGAGAAAGAAAGAAGAATAAGAAAAAAAATATGATGATGATGATGATCCTGACACTAGTGTAGCGGATCACCAATAATATTTATTTGGCATTTAAGAAAAATACAATTTGCCAGGAAAGGGAACAGGCAATTAGCCTGAACAAAACAAATTTGCTCTCTTTCCTCTTAACTAACACTACAAAAATACAAAATGAAATTCTATTATTCAGTAAGATAACAAACAACTCATTGAAAAAAAAAAATCAAAATGCAAAGATCACAAATAAACAATCAGATAAAAATAAGTAAGCAATAAACAGTTAATAAATAGTCAATACATTGAGATATAGTGCTTGCTGAAGGCAGACTTAAAACTTGTAATTGATAAGGATTGTTGAATAGATATTTTACAAGTCATAAAAACACACTACGATGTGTGGCAGCAGTTAACGCCATAATCAAAAGAAACGGTTATAGAAGAGACAGGAATAAGGCATGTTGCATAACAACCCAAGGTAATTAGTTCAAACCTTGAAAAAGTAGGCTTGATAATTGAGAGCCGATCACATGGTGAGTGCATCTTCAGCTAGTGGACGTACAGTACTGGTGCGTTTGAAGATGG